AGCCTGGGTAACAAGAGCGAAACTCCGTCTCAAAAAAAAAAAAGAAAACACAAAAAGTAGTCAGGCTTGGTGGCTCATGCCTGTGGTTTCACGTACTCCGGAGGCTGAGTTAGGAGGATCGCTTGAGCCTACCAGGTGGAGGCTGCAGTTAGAGATCACCCACTGCACTGCAGCCTGTGCCATAGAACCACACCCTGTCTCAATATAGCAATTAATTAATTAAATTATAAGTATTATATAATCACAGAAAGGAATTTTTGTTTTCTTTTGTTTTGTTTTCTGAGACCAAGTTTCACTCTTGTTGCCCAGCCTGGAATGCAATGGTGTGACCTCTGTTCACCAAAACCTCCACTTCTCAGGTTCAACCGATTCTCCTGCGTCAGCCTCCCAAGTAGCTGGAATTACAGGTATGTGCTACCATGCCCGGGAAATTTTGTATTTTTAGTGGAAACAGGTTTTCTCCATGTTCATCAGGCTGGTTTTGAACTCCGAATCTCAGGTAATCCACCCACCTCAGCCTCCCAAAGTGCTGGGATTACAAGCATGAGACAGGGTGCCTAGCCCAGAAAGTGATTTTTTTTTCACACTTCACTGCCCCACTTCCTACCCCACCCTGGGAAAAGGGAAGAGAGTGACTCACAACTGAATAAGTCACTGTCCTCTGGCTAAATAGGGATTCCAACTAGAAGCTAACTAACTTGTGATGCCAAGATTTACAGAATGAACATGTCTTACAGATAGGAATTTTTTTTTCTTTCTTTTTTTTTTTATTTTCCTTTCTTTCTTTATTTCTTTTTTTTTTGTTTTTTATCTTTTTTATTCGTTTTTTGTTTTTGTTTTTTTGCTTTTGTTTTTATTTTCCTTTCTTTCTTTATTTCTTTTTTTTTTGTTTTTTATCTTTTTTATTCGTTTTTTGTTTTTGTTTTTTTGCTTTTGTCTACAGATAGGAATTTTTAAATTCTCAATCTCATCTGTATAACTTTTTAAAGTCCTAAGTTATTAGATAATATAGCTTATGAAGTCAACATGTCACAACTAATCATATCCAATTAATTCATCCACTCACCTCAACCCAAAATCCTCTACCCCTTTTTTTCTTCTGAGACAGCGTCTAGTTCTGTTGACCAGGCTGCAGTGCAATGGCATGATCTCGGCTCACTGCAGCCTAGATCTCCTGGGCTCAAGTGATTCTCTTGCCTCAGCCTGCAGAGTAGCTGGGAGTACAGGTGTGCACCATTATGTGCAGTTTGTGTGTGTGTGTGTGTGTGTGTGTGTGTCAGAGGTTCAGGTCTCACTACGTTGCCCAGGCTGGTCTCGAACTCCTGCACTCAAGAAATCCCCTTACCTCAGTCTCCTAAAGTGCGAGGATTACAGGCAGGAGCCACTGCGCCCAGCCCCTCTTTATTCATTACTCTTCTTCCCGCCCTAATTCTCTACATCTCTCTCATTCTCCCCTTCTCTCTCTAGCTTGTTGTTTCTTTTTCCCTGGGATTCTGCTCCTCACTTTGTCCCCATCTCCTCTCCTGCTGTTTAACCCCTTCTTCCCTCTATTCCTTCTCTTCCGCCTCTTCTGCTCCATCCTCACAACTTATTTAACTTCTTGCTGCTCCTTTTCTCCAATCTTTTAATCGTCCTCAATCTTTACATATTTCTGCCTCTTATCTCATCTCTGCACCTCCTCTGAGCTCCCTGTTAAGTTTTCTCCTCCCTGTTATACCTCCTTGTCCCCACTGGCACCCACATCCCCAGGTGCCAGGTCCTCTGTGCTGTGGTTCCCTCTATTCTCCTTGCCATCAGCGCCCTCTGCTCTGTCTGCCCGGGCTCCAAATCCCTCCTTGTCTCCGTCACTCTCCTGGGCCTTCCTCTTTGCTGCCCCATCCCTCCCCTGCTGTCCTTCGTCTCCCTGTACATCTCGCTTTTCTCTACATTTCTCCAGTTGCTTTTCCCCTCCTGCTCTTTTTTTTTTCACTTTTGCTGTCTCTTGGCAAATCCCTCACCCATCTTCTACTTTGCCATCTGTTATGGGTCTTCCTCATTCTTGTTTTCTCTATCTCAGGTTTTCTAATGCTCTCTGTCTGTCTCCTGATGTCTTTGGCCCACACAACCACAGGAGGGTCCTGCATCTGGAGAAATGCCTTTTTATAGGGGCTGGAGCTGGGCTGGCAGAACATCCGTGTCACACGAAAGGCCCCGGGCACCTCCCCAACTCGGGCTCAGGGTAAGAGATGACTGCGGAGGGGAGACCTGGGGAACAGTAGGGCCCCTCTGTCAGGCCTCCATGTGCAAGCCCGGACCCAGAAGGTCAGAAATCCTGCCTGCCTTGGCTGGCTGATCCGCCGCCTGGGTTCGCCATTATCCCTGATAGCCCAGCCGAGCTTCCCCCGTTAAGATGGCTCACCCCACCCTGCCATCTTAACTGTTGTTATGATAATGTGACTACTCCTCACCCCGCCCTGCCATCTTAACTGTTATTATGATAATGCGAATCTCTCCAACCTACCCTACCATCTTTTTTTTTTTTTTTGAGACGGAGTCTCGCTCTTGTTACCCAGGTTGGAGTGCAATGGCGCGATCTTGGCTCACCGCAACCTCCGCCTCAGCCTCCTGAGTAGCTGGGATTACAGGCACGCGCCACCATGCCCAGCTGATTTTTTGTAGTTTTAGTAGAGACGGGGTTTCACCGTGTTGACCAGGATGGTCTCGATCTCTTGACCTCGTGATCCACCCACCTCGGCCTCCCAAAGTGCTGGGATTACAGGCGTGAGCCACCGCGCCCGGCCTCCACCCTACCATCTTAACTACTCTTCCGCCTTGCCCCACCGCCATTGTAACTGAACTTATGGTAATGTATATTCCTTGCCCCTACCCCCACCACTGTAACTGATTTTACTCCGTAAGACCCCTGTCCCCTCCCCAAAAGATTTGCCTCAACCTGGCCGGGCGTGGTGGCTCATGCCTGTAATCCAAGCACTTTAGAGGCCAAGGCGGGCGTATCATCTGAGGTCGGGAGTTCAAGACCAGCATGACCAACATGGTGAAACCCTGGCTTTAAAAAATTAAAAAAAAAAAAAAGATTTGCCTCAACCTATAAAACCAACTCCTCTCCCATCGCCCTTCATTAAGGCCTTTTTCGGCCTTAGCCCAACTGCCCCCAGGTGAATAAACAGCAGTGTTTCTCACACAAAACCTGTTCTGGGCGTCTCTTCATTCAAAGCGCGCGTTTTAACACCCTCACGAGAACGGAGGTCTGGGGACGGCGCCTTAGGAAAGGTTGGGGTCTGCAGGATCCCAGGACCAGGCAGAGGTCGCGGCCTCCCCGGGACTGGGGCCGAGGTGCTGCCCTCAGGGGACCGAGGAAGGCGAGGCTGGGAGGCGTCCAGGACGGGAATCCACCCCTCAGGTGAGGACTTCAAAAAGCGCGGGGCGGGAGGAGTCAGAAAAAGGTTTCGAGCAGGAGAACTACGCGATAGGAAATGTACACAGTGCCGTATAACAGAAAAACTGGGGACGGGACCAGCGAGGGCGACTTTAAACCCAAAAGGAAGCAACCCCCGGACTCTCATGGAAACGTCTCAATTTCCTCTGGGTGAAGAAAGATGGGCGAGAATTTCCAGGTTTGTGGGGACCCGACGACCCACGTATAGAAGCGCCGGGGACCTGGGAAACGGAGACTTAATTCAAGACAGAGTGAAACTCACGAGCCACGATGGGACATTCCCTGCACGCGATCCGCTTCCAAGTTTGCACGAAATGTGCGTGCGCAGGACAGAAGCCAGGCCTGGGCGGCCCCGAGGGGAGGCGGGCGGGGCCTGGGCGGTGCGAGGG